TAGGAAATTATTATTCTGCTCAATGAGAAAACTTTCCCTCATTTCCCTCTACCCTGGGAAAAATGTAATATATGAAATGGGACAAAGTAATGTTGGTGGGAAAAAAAATCTTCCATTGAGGAGCCAAAATATCAAAATATTCATTTTAGTGAAGATTTTGTCCAACAACAGTTTAATGTTCCTCAATCAGACCCAGCAAGAATTGGCCTTCTGCCTCCCTCAGGCCAACCAAGCATCTCAGCTGCCCATCTTGCATTGTCCATGGACCACAAAGGGTCACTGAGGGGGCATCCCAACAACCTGGTCCTTTAAAGGAAAGCAGTGATCATCAGACTAATGCACAACGTTGAAATGCTCCATCTGCCGGGAGAGCTAGTCCATTGGAAATCTGGACCATACGTCAGTTACCTCCAATTTCTTCTGGTTTTGTACTTTGTAATTAAAACTTCACTTTATCACTTTATCAAATTTCACAAATTGCAGGGTGTGAGAAATGAGAGTTAACAGATGAGAGTTAATCAGATATAGCATTGATTACAATAAAATATTTGCAGTAGCAGTGTACTACAGGTAACACATGCAGAGAATCAAATATTCTTTGCATATGCTGTGCCCTGACAAGACTTTATTTTAATTAAAAGACACTTGTAAATATTTTGTGCAATCTTGTAGAACAGCAGGAGCATGTGTGTGTACAAAAGGAAAAAAATCATGCATTTCCACAAGACAAAATAAGGAAGTGCCATGGGAAAATGCTTTGCTTCTTCCTTATCCTGTATCAAATAAATGTGCAGTTCAGATGAAGGCTTAATGCAATTCCAGCCTCATTTATATCCTTCAGATAAAAGTTAGTAATAAATCAAATCAGCCAGGAGATAGAAACTTAATGCCTCAATAGCATGACCTATGGTGCATAGATTTAACAAAAAGCAAAAATATTTCAATATTAGGACACATTATCGATGTGTATCTTTTCTAAAACTCCTGTCAAATAACCAGACAAATAACTAAACATTTTTTGATAAAACATTACACATGATGTGAGGCATAACATGCAAATATATCAGCAGCATACTGACCCATTATTTTTACAATTTTTCTCTGAACTGTAAGGAATAATGAGACATTGACGAGAGTAGTTTGGTATTTTTCCCACAATATGCCACTAATTTTTAAGACTGCCTGTTCCTAATGGTAAAAAATATTTGTTTGTTTCCTTAATAATATGACTATTTTCCCATTAAATACTCAGCTGCACCCATTTAAAATCCTGAATAGGAGTTTCACCAGCTCCAGCATTAGATTCTCTTTGTTTACTTTGTTTACCTCCTCACAATCTGGGAGACTGAATTCTTTATATGAGCAATGGTGAGAAGTCAATGGGACAATTCAAAACATGTCTGTTAGATGCATGAGTCAGATAATGTGAAGACCTCCCTACCATGCTGAAATTTGAAAGATTTATTTGAACAGCAAACAGATTATGTCTATTCAAGACACAAAATCTGAAAGAAACCACAATTTGATTGAATTAGATTTCAAAAGGATCAAAACCACATCAAACATGGGGCAGCTTTCTGTACTTCAAGGATGTTGCTGTCTGGTTTTTGAGGAGACAGTCCTTTATCAAGAAAGCCACTAATTTGGGCCATCCAGATAAAGACAATGAAACACAGATATCTCTTGGCTGGAGTCAGTAATTCCACAGAAAACAGTGAACTTCAGAACCAGCTGGTTCAATTTGTCCTAAAGGGATGGACTGAAAGCTGGCATCTTTACATTTTTTCACAAGCAGCCCCTCAGATTTTGGATTTGCCAAATCTTTCTAGCTGTAAATGCATTCTTGTTTTTAACTTCCATGCCCTGTGTGCCTGGAAACCCTGACAACTTCTCCCTTTAATAAAATGCAGAGGTCTGGTATTTCCTACTTCACCCACATCTTCCCCTTGACCCTCACCCATGGGGTTGTCAGCAGCATGACTTAAAGGCAGGACATGATCTTTGTGGCTATTTTCCAGGCAGACTTTCTCTTTGGCTTGCTGAATTTTTATTTAGCACTGAGCTCTGGTGCTGTTGTGACTGTTCTAGGAGGTGCCAGCCCCTGACAGCCAGAGGAATGCTATTGCTGTCTCCAGCACACCTTTCCTTGTCATAAATGCCTCCTTCCCTCAGGGGAGACAACACTACACTTCCAGCTGAACAGCTGTGCTGGTGTTTCTCCTAACAACTGGCAGCAGCCATGCTGCTCACTATATTTAATAGCTGTAAAAAATTTAACATCCCAACAGCAGCCAGCAAACAGTTGGCATTGCTGTGACTAGGCTGCTTGTCAAAATCCGTGGCAGGTATTTTTATTGCACTTTAATTGCAGAGGGTAATTCAGAAGACATACCTGTAATTTAAGTCTCCAAATTAGGGCCTGTGATTTATGACGAGGGTGCTAGCAGAGTTTTATTGCAACATAACTGTCAGCATCTGAGCTTAGGCAACCCTGATCTCCCAATATTCTCTGCCACAGTAAAAATATCAGTGACAGGGCAAACAAATCTAACTGGGGGATGGGGAGGAAAAAAACCCACAAGGACACAAAACCCACAGAAGGAAGACAGCAACTAACTTTTTCTTCATCTAACTGGAATAACAGGGCTTTCCTTGCTGTAAAACAAAGAAGCCCAAATGCCAGAATTTTCTAGATTGTATGTGGCTGGCACAACTGGGCTGCTTACCTGTCCCACACACCTCTATCCCTGCATGGCCATTTCCTTGCAGCTCTTTGCTCATGATCCTTCCACTGCAGCTACAAAGAAAATTCCTAAGGTTGGTTTTCCTGTGCATGGAGAAACATGAGAGATAACAGACTCACACAAGTGCTACTTGCTCCCTTCACACAGCAGTGATCACACAGAGGTTTTTCAATCAACATGTAGTACCTAACACACTGTCAGCAGAAGGAAAAGACCAACATTGGCTGTGCACAGGTTTGGGGCACTTGAAGTGCTTTTCCAGAAGTGTAGATTTCCCTGGAAAGACAGCAGCCTCCACTGTCTGACTCCAACATGGAAAGATCATTCCAGATACAACGAAGCTGTAGCATGAAGCACATAAACACATTACTATACAATTATTTGAGTTCTGGTTGCTGTATACTTTTGGTATAGGAAAAAGGAAAGTGAAACCTTCCTATTCTTCTGATTTTTTTTCTTCTCTGCAGAAAGTTCACACAGCTCCCATGAGCCAAGTCCAAAGAAATGCCTGTAACTGATCACAGATTATCAGTCCTGAATATCTTCCAACCACATGGCCACCAACCAGGAGAAATTCCTTTTGTCACTTTACAATGTCTCTCAGCAGTAAGAAAGTAGTGCTTAATGCTCCCAAATCCACAGGTATCCAGTGACAAAACCATCCTTTAGGGGACAGGAGTAGGCTTTGGAACCAGAGTGGAAGCAGATAGAACACTCAGCTGCCTGTGACCCATGGGTGGTGTCAGCTGTAAGCAAGAGCCATGAATTACTGACTTACAACAGCACTTCACTATATTAACTATATAAAATCTACTATTTTGATGATGAAAATTATTAAAATTCCACAATTTCTTCCAGCATCCTCTTTAGTTCCTTCATCAGCCAACTAGTTTTCACTTGTCCACATTTTTCCCCAGTGGGAGAAGAAACACTTGTGTGAAACAAAGCCATTCTTGTTCACTAAACTGCTGAAGCAAAACACTAAAACAGTCTTAGTACTGCTCCATAATCCCAATCTATATTTAGTAAAGTTAAATCCTATTTATGGATTCAAACATGTATAGTACCAAGCAAACTAGAGGGCCAATTACATCCCCAATGTCATTATCCCAGTGACAGAACAATATAAAACCCAATAACAGCTTCTCATTGATCAGCTAATCTAACAGGTTTCTAGGAGTCTGCTTACCACAAGTAAACTACAATATGGTCAAATCCTTAAAAATTTCCTTAGTTAATAATTCTTTATTACTGTATGTCCGCAGTTTTACAGATTAAAGTAATACTTTGGTCTTGTCCTAAAGAAGCAGATTTCATGTTTGTAGCTGATTGCTGTCTCATAAAATAATAAGCATTCATCTTGGGCTGGCTGTCAGGTGGTCACTGGCATTTCCATCTCCATCCCTATATATTCAGAGACCAAAAGAACATCCAGAGATGTTGTTACTGGGAATAATTTTAATCATTTTTCTACCAGAGCACAAGGAGAAACAACAGGGCCCAAAAAGTCACAGCACTCAATCATCTTTCAGTCCTGGTTAGAATCAATAAGGAAATGTGATTGGTCACTCTTCTGACAAAACAGCCTAAAAGAAAAATAAGAAAGGGGGAAAAAGAGAGAGAAAGAAAACATTAATCACTGTAAATCAATAGAATAATGAAATATTCTTGCATTGGATATAACAAGAAGGGCACTTCATTTAATCATAATTTCCCACAGTCGAGGCCCACTTTCTACCCCAAGTTATGTACACACATGGAGGGAAAGAGCAGTTCACCAGCACCATATACTCATTCATCTTATGCTTTTTTTCTTTTTTCTTTTTAATTTTTAATGATATTTTTTTCTCTTCCCTCAAGGGTATTTTCAAATACAAACCCAAGGCATGTTAGAAGACACCCAGTTCTCACCATTAAGTCATTTGCTTCCCATACTGAAAAGTTTTACCATGTTTTTCACCTAATAAAACCTGGATTCTAACAGTAACCAGCTCTGCACAAATGAGCAGATGCTTTTAGAGAATTGGGTGAGGGTTTAGCATTTTGTGCCCGAAGAAGAACAAAGAGAAAAGGGAAATCAGAGCAAGGACTAAATGTTTCACCATCCCTGTAATCAGTATTAGTGGTATTGATCAGAGAAAGATCACAGACACCAATTCCCTGCCTGCTCCAATTACAGGAGCATTGGAAAGAACTTAGAGAGAAAAAGAAAGTTCCACAGCCCAAAACACCAACATAATTTTATTTTTTCAACACCATTTTCTTAGTGCTTTCAAAGGCTTTTAAGCTGCAAGAATTCCATGGTAGTGTGTGTGTTGTGACAGAGGGACACTGCTCTTTAGCCACATGAAAGAGTCCTTGCTGAAGTGATCCACTCACAGGGTAGAACTGAGATGCAGGAGTTTGTTTTGTCTGGTTCAGGCTTTTGTTGCTTGGCAAAATCCACTTCACCAGTAAGTCAAAATCTCTTTTTAACCAGAAGTATTTTGTAAAAGAAGTTATCAATGTTCTCTGCTATTCTTTGATTTCAAATAAAATCAAATAGCAAGGCAGTCAAAAACTGAAAAAAAACCCCAAAACCAATAACTCAATATAGTTTTTTAATTGGCACCATTAAATTTCTACCCCAGCCCAGTGAATAGAGGTGTCTCCAGGGAGCCCAAAAAGTAAAAGTTCCAAAGTTCTCAACCATCCTCACCAGCATGGCAAGCATGACATGACACAGCAAGCACCAGCACTTCCCACGACGAAGCTGAAGTGGCCAGGCTGATCTGTTCATGCCAGTTGTCACTTGTTTGTAATAAAATCATATTAAATCAGAATAGATGGCCACTATGCTCTTGTTCTTGAAGAGTTCACCGAATTCTTACAAAGATGAGAAGCCTCCTGAACATCTGGCACCATGAGGCCTTCAGCTCCCTAGCCATGCCATAATTTGTACAATCTAAGCACTACTCTGCAGGTTAAGCAACATGCACAGCCCAATTTAGAAGTATTCAATAGCCAGAAAGACACTTTCCCTTGAGATGCATCACATCTATGCTGGAGAAAAAGAAATAGCAGTCAGAAATGGGATTACAAGAGATAAATTTTCATATGCCATCAAATATAGGCTTTTTTCTGTTGCATTGGCAGCCTTTTATTTTTTCACCAAATGACAGATATCTGTCCTTGTCAAATCATATCTAGGATGTTCTTTGAATATCTGAACAGGTTCTCACCATCAAAGCCTGACAAAGCTGTGAGAAGTGAACAGATGAACTCTGATACCTGCAACAGGCAGTAGGTTTAAGTGAACAACATCAGGAGGAGACACTATTTCCGACTTGGTTTGGATGCTTTCTAGCAGCTTCCAAATCTGAGAACCACCTAAACTCATTTTTACTTGATTTGTTCAAAAAACCCACCAGCTTTCACTCAGAAGCAGAGTCATTAATTTATCCCATGCTTTCATCACAGTGCCCCAAGATGATTCCAATGCAAATATTGAAGCCTGCTCTAACCCACAGTTCCAATTCACCAGGCCTCATAACCTTTTCTGAAAAGGTTGCTTCATTCTTTCTTAGGTCAATAATTCCCCAACTTCTCCATGGAGTCATTTTTGCATTACAAAAAAGTTCTGTTGTGCTCTGAGACTGCAACTCTGTCTCATTTTCTCTGTCATGATCGAGTTGACCAAAGGCACAATCCTTTCCTAGTTCAATCACTGGGTCAACCTACCTGTGGCCTGCTCATCATCAATCTGCCACAGAAATATTTTCCTTGAAGGAGGTTTACAGAACAATAGTCAAAACAGAGCATGACAAAAAACAACCTTGCTTGACATCTATCAGCAAAAAATATCAGCAATCCATATTTTCTATACATACACACACACCCTGAATTTAGCATTTCACTCCAGAATTAATTAAGGGCATTGAGGATTTATGCTTCCCTTGAACAGTAACACTATTTATATTAAAAATGCTGGAAACAGCAAGCTAGATACTACACATAACAAATCTTGATATTTTTTCTGTCTTCAAACTTTTCTCCATCATGAGAAGCACATTTATGGACAGCAAGGTCCTGGATAAGCAACATCCCAAATGACCAAAAGTTGCCCTGGAGAGTTGCCAGCTGAAACCTTCCACAATATTTAGTATTTTTCATTATGTACTGGCTGCTGAGATCACATGGCTTTATCTCAGCTTCCACAGGGGCATTATCTATTCCCCAGGTCTGTACAGGAGAGCTTGAGATGATAAATCATGTCATTTCATCCTACAGAGAAAGAGGAGATACTCAGTCAAGACTAAAAATATACATTGAGTATCAGTATAGCACTTCACTTTCCCCACTTGTTTGCACCACACACCACCCAGTTCATCACAAGCTCTGTCACAATATTGCATCACAAAAATGCCTTTAGCTTCAGTGTTTTACCTATTACAATAAGGGAGGATTTTCTCTCACAACTGTATCAGACAAATTATGCCAAAACCAAGGTTTGTATTCAGAATCACTTGTACAAAGATGTCTATAGCAGCTCGACCAAGGAAGAACAAAAGTCATGATCTGGAATGGTTGCTTCAAAATAAAATTAGGAATTGTTGTAGTGCATTCTGCCAAATTATCTTCCTAGAGGAATTCCAAGCTAAAATTCCTCTGCCATGGAGGGAATCCCACATGTGAAACTTCAGCCTCACTGCTGTGTTAATAACTGGGGCTTCTCCTGGACAAAACAAGGATGTGCAGTACACCTGGTCTAGGGAAAGAGAAAAGAGTATAAGTATTGCCCAGGAAGGATAGAGGGGAAACAAAAGAGAACAAAACAAAACAAAAAAAATGGTTGTTACTGTGCTGAAAGCCAAGACTCAATCCATTGAGACAAAGAATTTAAAGCATTTTAAGGGTGATGTGGTTACCATAGTTTCAGAGTACCTGATTTATTTCTTGAACAAAATAGCCATGTATTTAGCACCACACAGCTTGAAACAGAAAACCAAAACACATCCGTAGAATTTATGCTTTCTAGAAACCAACCCCAAAGATGCATTTCTAGTTGGCCAAAAGAAAGCCAGTTCAGTAGGGTATGCTATTTATAAGGTGCTCAGCTACAAAATGTTAAATAAACTTAACTTCACTGCAGAAAACTCTCACAAAATCCTCTTTTCTTGAGTTCATAATGAGAAACTGGGAAGTTTATCCATCTAATACAGATACATATGGACCTCCAGCTTATTTTCTAATACATCCTGGAAAGTAAGTATTTATTAAATATACTTTATAGATAAAAAATCTGAATTGATATCAAAATCATCTATAGCATGTCAAAAGGATTTGATCAGAGAGAAGGTGCCTTTTCAAAAAAAAAAACATAGGATAATAAACCTGGAAAAGAAAATACTCGGAAGCAGTCTTCACAGACAGGATCAAGGCAAATGGCAATAATTTCCCATCAATCGTTTTACCTGCAAGTTAGAAAAATGAAAGAAAAAGGTCAAGTGGGCACATGTGAAGTCTGTTATGATGTCCCCCTGCTGGCTTTAGGATTTCACTTGCACTGACAGATGAATACATCTAGAAAAGCCAAGAAAGACTAAAAATGTTTCAAGCCTAAAGTTTGCTTCCATAAGGAACGTGGTTATTATAAGATGTATTCCTGCAATTTGGCACAACCAATGACAATCCCATCCTCAATTTCCTATATATTCCTTATATTTTCCCTTTCATCACAAATACATAAAACCAAACAAAAGTAAATTATTGCGGTTCTTCTTTCTTTCATTGTTGTTGTTGTTTTCTCTAGCCTTTTTTATTTACCACCAAAATGTGTTATTTCTCTTTATTTAAATGCAGAGCACCAAAGTCAAGCAGAATTGACAGCTGTGAAATATGGGGCTTAGAACAGAAAATTCCTTTCTGAAAGAGAACCTCAGAGCAGCTTTCCCAAACTCCCAGACTTCTGCAGAGAATTCAAAGTATCTGCAACTTTTCTTATCAAGCTTGGAGAAGTTTTATTGCATCTGCTCCAAGAATTTTAACAGGTGAAAAATTGACAGCACATAACATAACTTGAGCAGATATCTAATATTCTGAATTCATGGGGGAACTAATTCTGAAGACTATTTAATTCCTTGTTCTTGGAAAATTCCCACTGAAGTCAATGAGACTGTGTGGGGTGAATTCAGAAACTATAACATAAAATGGTACAATAGCAGCCAGCCCCTAAGAGAGAAGAACTTGGGTAGAACTGCTCTTTGCAACAAAAGCTGAACTTAGCAAAACCCTCACATGGCTTTAGATTTCACTTTAATTAGAAATGAATCAAGTTTCAAAACGGTTCTTGAGGTGTATAAAATTTCAAAGCAATACTGGGTTTATTTCCACAAGCAACCTCCAAAGCCAATGTATTGATTTTCCCCAAAAATAATTCTGAGAGCACTGACGCCTTCTGCTTCCTCCAGTTGTTTTGAACAAGCTGTGCTTTGTGAGGACAGATCAAAGGAAACAGAATGAGGATGTTAGCAGCTGCCATATTCTGTCTGCAGGGTTGCACCCAGACAAGCATCCCAGGGGCACTGCCAGGTGCTTCAGGGAAGAGACAAGAGAGCTCAGTGACTTTTGCAGATCCTGGCTCTGGTAGGTTCTGCTTCCTTTGATGGTGCTGTCACTATTAGGGCTCTTGTATTTGCGGTGTTCCCCAGATGGAAAAGGAATGATGAGTCTGACTCCATGTTCTCAGGAGTCTAATTTATTATTTTATGATATTATATTACATAAAAGAATGCTATACTGAGCTATACTAAAGAATACAGAAAGGATACTTACAGAAGGCTAGAAAGAGAATAATGAAAACTCATGACTCTCTCCAGAGCCCTCGACACAGCTTGACCCTGATTGGCCCAAAAGTCAAAACAATTCACATGAAACCAATGAAACAATCACCTGCTGGATAAACAACCTCCAAACACATTCCAAAGCAGCAAAACACAGGAGAAACAAATGAGATAATTATTGTTTTTCTTTTCCTCTGAGGCTTTTCAGCTTCCCAGGAGAAGAATCCTGGGCAAAGGGATTTTTCCAGAAAATGACAGTGACATAGGGCAGTGCAATGTCAGCAAGGCACAAACCCTCCCATGACCCAACAGGCCATTTCCCCTTCAGAAACCTTGCAGGATAACTGGGAATAGTTTGTTCAGGGAATATTTCACCTAAGGCCCAGCATTTAGGGAGTTGGCTTGCATGGGAAGCATGCAAATGTTTATTCTTCTGCCAATGCCTCCCTTATTGGAGTATTTAGTTAGGAGCAGGCCTGTCGGCATCACCACATTATAATCTGTATAAAGGGTATTTCTTGGAGTTTGTTGCTTGGTTATTGGTGGGGGTTATTGGGAGCATTCTGGTAGATGTCTCTCTCATGAAAAAAGGGATATAAGGATTACTGCTTTGAGAAGATATTTTGGTAGGCAGGGCCAGGTCACCAGACTTCCTGAACTGGCTCTGCCTCTGGGGAACATCCTACCTTGATTCCTGCTGGTTTCCTCACAGATGGGATTTTGTCACCACATTATTCCTCAGGCACATTTTGTCACATCCCCTGCATTGCTCTTCAGGAAAAAGAAACAGAAGTTATTTTGCTCAGCCTCAATGTTACAGTAAAAGCCTGGGGCAGAACATTTTGCTCCACTTCTCTATTTATCAGTGTAAACAATCACTACTGATTGTTTACACTGATGAATAGACCTGAACAATGAAATATAAGAGTAAAACATTAGCCTCACTTCTCAGCTTACTCAAACATTCTCTGGAATATCAGATCCTCCTGACTTATGTGTTTTAAATGCATTAATATCAGCTATGATACTGCAAAATCCAACCATTCAATCAAAAGACAATAAATAAAATTCAGAAAGACTGAGCAGAATTCTTTGCACACACTGAGCATAGCAAAGTTAAACATATTCCCATGAATCAGGAACTTGTGGTATACATGAACTGTAGCAACTCTTCAACCCTAAAAGGGTAATTGGCACAGGGAGCAAAGTGGTTTTTCAGTCTGGATGTATGATAGTATAAAAGAGTTAATGCTGGAACTCTTGAGAATCTCTTGTAAAACTGAGAAAAGTCACAACTTCTTTAAAATCTGTGGAAAAAAAAAATCCCTTATTTTCCTTCTGAGGCATTACTATGCTTCAGCAGGCACCAAAAACTTGAAAGTACTGGAATTGGATCAACAGCACATTTCTTTCAGGAAGCTTTGGGTTTTGTATCGAAGAAATTAACCTTTTTTTTAATGAAACACTGCTTGAAACAAAGCATCCCTCTCCCTGAGACTCAGCACGTCAGGCACAAGAAGTTTGCCTGCCACATTGAAACTAGTTTTGAAAGAGGGGGAAGATGAAGACAATTCCCATCTCACCTCTTGTTTAATTCCCCAAACCTTGGGAGAGATTTGACATCTACATTCACATATTCAACAAAGGGTAATTTTTTCTAAGCCAAGCTACAGAAGAGCCACCATGTGGTTTCACTCATGTTTTGCTACAAAGGTACCACATTTACTTCAAGGATTTTACCAAACAGAAGAGTTCAGATATATCCAGCCCTCATTAAAGAGAACATATTTTCATTGGCCTTGCCACATCTAAACAGACCTGACCCATGGGATATCCTCCAGGAAGAGGAGAATCAAGCTTCCAACAAGCTGTGATTTTTCAAAAAAAACATAGCTGGCAAAAGCTGTGAAATATTTCCACCGTAGAATAGCATACAAGGTGCAGAAGTAACAAATCCCAGTCTAAAAGACTGTACCATTAATCAGGCCTTGCAATCACTCACTCCACCAGGTGGTTACACTGCAGCATCATAAATGAAGTCAGAAAATTTTAAATTCCCTGGGTGGAAATACCTAGCACATGCTCTTTGTGATTATTTGGCTTTGCTGCTACATATCTCAAGGAAGCATCAATCAGGATAGCCATAAACTTCTGAAAAGTTGCAGTCTAAGCAGAGTTTTTATAAAGGCTTAACTTCAAATATTAAGGGAAAAAGAAAACCAAACCTCACTAATGACCACTAACATACTTCTTAAGTTCTCAAGAACTGCCACTGGTTGGGAATAAAGAAAAGTAAATCTACCCATTTTAGGAACAGTGTCTTCTAAAATAGAAAGAAATAAGATGGAAGGAGGAACAGATCTGACATGAGTCAACAGGAAAGGAATTCACACTGGGCAGGTTCTGAAATTTTCTCTGACCTTACAGCAGCCTTCTCTTTCATTTGCTTCCAGCTATTTCAGATCACCTGCAAGTTTTATATCATAAAACTTTTTTAAAAAGAAGTTTCCGTAGAAGGTCTCTTACAGAGTTTTAGCACTTTCTTCTTCCAGACCAGCTGACTCATTTGACTGGTTTTTTCAAGGTAACCTTTAAAAGGCTGGACTGACACACCAGTCCATCAAACAAATGTTAACTTCTGTTTAATAATTTTGCCACAATCAAAGTCCAGAACTCCCAGGTATTTCCAAGGTCAAAATTCAGTTTGGTCTCATGAAGAAAGGCTGAGAGAGTTGATGTTTTCTAATGACTTCAAACTATTCATGGGACTTAGTAATTTTTTATCTACTGATTATTCACTGGTTGATTTTTTTGTTGTTGTTGTTTTTTTACCCTGTTACTGTCTCACATGTTAATAAACTGTTATTTTTTCACTTATATCTACTCATATTTTATTTCTCCTTATTGGTGGAAAGGGATTGGTTGAAACTAAGGGCAGGTAACTCATTTTAGAGTTCCCACCTCTTAAATTGTCTTAAACCAAGACACAGAGTTAAAGCTGCAGGATGAGTGGTTCAACCCTCCATGCTATTGTTACAAGGCTAGGAGATGCTGACTCAGAAATTTCTCCTGGGACTCTGTGGTTAAAATCTCCTTCTCACCTAGCCAAGCGCTGATTTTTCTTTCTGCAAGCTTTATCCATCCATCCATCGGGTTTTCCACTAAAGCAGCAGGAGAGCTCTGAAGGGTGAAATGGGTTCTTTATTCCACAGCTGCTTTGTGGGTGCTTCTCCACCTTTTCTCTCAGCGACCAGAATCCAGAAGGAGAGCTGTAGATTCTGTAAATAATCTCCATCTCTGTGTCTCTCAAGAGTGCATTTTTCTGTAGGGAAGAAAAAAAAAAGTCTGATGTCAGAAAATACTTTCATAATTGCTGCAAGATTTTCCAGCACTAGTTTATCCTGTCAGTGGTAGTGATTTCCAGCCCAGAAAAGAAGCAATTATCAGGAACCCAGTGACCCAGATGGAAGACTTTGGATTACATGAAAAATCCTCTCCTATCTTGCCATCTACTTTGAGATAGGAGAGTTGAGCATAAAATTGACTTGCATGAGAGAGAATAATTCAGAGAACATAGACTCAAGCATGCAATTCCTCTCAGATAATTGAGATACTCCTAAATAGGAAGTGTATGTGTGAGGAATCCTCCTAAATGCTTGTGGACTAGAGACCTTTCAGGACTACCATTCCTTCACACTCAATTTTTTTCCAAAGTTACTTATCAGTGGGTAACTCCAAAAAGCAGTGAACCTCTTAGTGTAGAGCTGTATTTGTCATTTTAACAATCCAGACTACTCCACCAGACATCTTGGCATAACTGACATAGTAGAACCCTACGGGTTTGAAATGTTTTATTTCAGATTCTATGCAGTTCATGCTTCTTTGAATTTCCACACTATTTACAAAGAAAAAAAATGTGTTACAACGGTAATCTGAAAATAGAGATATAATAAAAA